GTGCACGACCGACGCCAAGAGCGCGCGCTGATCATCCACGTGCTTTCGGATGGAGACGACACCAGCTCTCCCGGGATTAACGCCGTAGAGCGCGCGCTGATCATCCACGTGCTTTCGTGGAGAGCGGCACGTGGACGATCGACATCCTCCGCTCGATGGCCAAAGCGCGTTGGACAGGGTTGTTGATTATTCCTATTATTGCCGAAGTGAACATCATGTGGATGCCGAAGAAAAGCAACGTGAAGGAGTCACTCGTCTCGTAGATCGAGAGGAACGAACGATTGAGAAGGAAACAAAGAAACCTTGTGCCCCATTGCCAACCCCGGCGATCAACATGTGGTTGATCGCGACGAACGAACGAGTGAGAAGAAAAGAAAAGAAAGAAACCATGTGCCCCAATGCCAACCCCAACCACAGCAGGAATGAAGTGGACGATGGCGACGAAAAAACGACTGAGAAGAATAGTAAACACAAACATCATGTGCTCGAGTGTCATCGATAGCCGTTCCCAATACACATGCGACACGCGTCGCGCAACGGCGGCTGTCATGCGCCAGCAGCAATGTGCCCCAATGCCAGTGACGACAGTTGTCGTCAACGGCCTCGACGTGGGTAGGAAGAACACCGCTGTACCCTGAAGAGATGGCGCAACTCTTTGACGAGGGCGAAGCGTAGACGATGGCGACCACGTGTCGACGCGGAACGCGAAGACGGGGTGTCGAAACTCCGACAACTGGAGCGCACGAGCAGTCAAAAGGACGGTAATCACGCAACGGCGAGAGGAGACAAACGCTTTACCATGAAGGACGGGAGCAGCTCGTCGGCGAGGGCGAAGCGCAGCCAATGGCGGACACGCGCTGATTCAGAACGCAAGGACAGGGTGTCCTATCTCCGAAAGCTGGAGTAGATGAGCAGACGGGAGGACGAGACTAAGGTGGACATCTGGAAACACATGGCGCGACTGCGAGGCAGCGAAGGCGATGGCCGATGTCGCAGAGGTCACGCCGCGTTCGAATGCGCTCGTGGGCGGGAGATGCGAATGGGCTGCACCAAACCCAAGGTAGCTGTTCACTGGCATCCAAATCCCTCCTCTGACTGCCGTGGGACCGCACGGAAAGACCATCCCGCCGTGATTTTGGACGACGAACGTCGACCGTCCGATCTGCAAATCGGACGGCCAGACGGCGACTTCGCTGTTTAGGCTAGTGCAACCACCGCCGCCACCAACCCCCAAAAAAGAACCCCCCCCCCCCCCCCCTTTTCCTGTCACGCGGCTTGAAACCGCCCCCCCGACAATTCCATGACGTCCGCACCGGGCCCTTCTTTTCATGACGTCCGCACAGGGCCCTTTTTTTCATGACGTCCGCACAGGGCCCTTTTTTCATTACATTCGCACCGGCCCCCTCTCGCGTGGATTTCGACGTCGCACCACCGCACGATGCGTGAATCCGACGGTCGTGTGGCGACCCACGGACCGTTTGCGCGCAATGCCGAGCAGGATTATGCGTGGGGGCCTAAAATCCTCGCGCGTACAAATTCGAGCGGCGCCCGTGGGAATCAGGCCGTATTCTGAGCTTTTGCTGGGGTGATGCTGCCAGACGGACGTCTCACACTGGCATTGCCATCAACACCAGCGCCCCTTACAGGCGGAGCGCCATAGCTTGCAAGCAGCACGAGGCAAACCTCCGTCGCACCAACGCACCTCGTCCGCCTTTACCTTCCGCGTTGCGTTCCACGTCACCTTCCGCGTCGCACCACACTCGTTGTCGACCTTCCACGTGTCTGTCCACGCCATATTCCTCGCGGATCGCTTTATCGTCCACCTATCACGTCGACCTGCTCGAGTGGACATCCGCCTGTGCACGTCGACCTGCTTGCGTATTCGTCCATTGTCGACGGGTTCATCCGGTGAAATGGCACGTGTCCGTTTCGATTCGATCGCTCTTCACTCCGTGTGTCTGTGTGTGCGGATGTGTTTATGTAGACTGAACGAGTGTGTGCATTCTCATGTGCGCGTCTCCATGCGAAAGGTTTTTGTTCGTGGATGCATGACGTGGCATGTATGCAATGCGCGTGTGTCCTACAGGTGCGACCTGCTCCCCACTACCTGTATTGTGAACGAGTGTGTGCATTTGCAATGCGCGCATCTCCAGCGGAGTGCCCGTATGTACATGTGCTTAAGTGCGCGAGTGTGTCGTCCTTGCATAGATTCACTTTGCGCAGCTCATCAACCGTGCAGGCTGAAGATTCACTCCGATCCTTCTGAAGATTCACTCCGATCTGGGCGATGACTCATTTCGATCTGGCTGATGATTCATTTCGCTGATTGATTGCATGCGCGTTTGATCGCTTGCGCAGGTTGACAGAAATCCAAGGATGACACACTCGCGCACTTGGAAATATGGTGGTTTGAACGAGATCGGATGGATGCTGGGCTAAATGGTTTGGGCTGAAAAAAGGCGAGATCGGATAGATGTTGGGCTAAATGGTTTGGGTTGAATGAAGGGAAGACGGAATCGAGTAAGGAGAACGGAGCGCTAATGTATTTGTTTTTCTGCACTCGAACGTTCAGTCAATGAATGTCCACTTCGTCCCCAATCCCGCGCCTCCTCCGTCGTTGTTCAAACAATCAATCATTGTCCGATTGGAGCACCGGATCGTTCAATCAATCAATGTCCCGTCCTATTGCTGTTAACTTCATCTTAGGCGACTCATTCCCATCTCCCAAAGCGCGACAATGCAAGTCTGTGTTTGTGTGCAGGATGAGCGAAATCCGAACGAATCTGGTGGACATGGGAAATATTTAGGTGTGACGTTTGATCAATCGACACGATGATCAAAATCTAATGAATCCACGCGTGCAACATGATTGCTTTGGTTTATTGAGAGATTCCAATCGACACGATGAGCGAAATCGAATGAACCTACGCCTGGATAGTTCAATCCACGCGTGGAGCATGATTGAGAGATTTCCATTGATTGAATGGATAACGAAAACGAAAACGGAACTGTAACTCATTTTTTCTTTTTTCACTCCAATCATAGTTGTTCATCCAATCAATGAATGTCCGATCCGATTGCTGGATCGTTCAATCAATCAATCGGTTGGCTAAGAACGCGTCTCGGTTTTGCTTATCCTGCCATTCCAACGCTCCAAGAGAAGGGAAGGACTTGCCTTCGATGAAATGAACAGCAATCGACCGATTGCAGGTGATTGCAGCGCAGGGAAGTTATCCCAATCTCCTGAAATGTGGCAATGTCAGTCTGTGTTTATGTGCAGGATGAGCAAAATCGGAACGAGTTCTCAGCGAGCACATGACAATATGTTGGCAAGACGGCACGTCCATCGATACGATGAGCGAAATCGGAAGAATGGACTGCTGGTACATGGTTGATTTGATTGAGCGAATGATTTCCATCGATACGATTTGATTGATTGGAAGACGAAACGAACAATGAAGAACAAAGCGACACTGTCTTCTTCTTTTCTTTTCTGATCGTTCCATCAACGTATGTCCAATCCCCCCCCCTCTCCCGCTACACATCCGCCCTGCAGTCGATCAATCGTTGGGAACAGAATGGTGTACAATCGAAACGACAGTTTGGTGGCCAACGAGGGTTCGATCTGATCGCTGGTTGAACGAAGATCTTGCAGCGGCCGATTGATCCTCGTCGGCCATTGAACCTTTGTCGGCCATCGAACCTCGTCGGCCATCGAACCTCGTCGGCCATCGAACCTCGTCGGCCATCGAACCCTGATATGGATTTGATAAAAAAAAACACCACCCGACGAAGTCTGGATCCCGACGAACTTCCCATTCCCATTCCCCCTCTCATGAGCCACTCGATTTGCACAGCAACGCAAGCCTGTCCGGTACCGCATGCGCATCAAAGGACCGAAGGCGGTATGGAAAATACTCGAAGTTCGCAGGTATCCGAACTTCTTCTGACGATCGATAGCTAGACATGAGACTTTCAGAGCGTGAAAAGACCGACGACCGTTTGGAAACGCGTCAAGTTCGGGTGCGGGCGACTTGTGCTGTTGTCTTAATGAGCTGGAATGCGAAGTCCGCCGGAATCCGGACTTCAAGATACTGCGGGACAAGGAGCTCGACAGACCGTGTCTGGCTCTCTCACGCGCTCTCACGAAGTTATGGACGAGCCCTGTCTGCGGCTCGCCTGGTTGCCCTTGGATTTGAACAATAACCAAGTCCGCCCGTATCCGAACTTCGAGGGGCTCCGAAATTCAGCCATCGACCACGTTTGCCCGAATCGGAGCTTCGAACGTTGGCCGCGTAGAATACCGTGAAATCGCCTTCTCCTCGGGCCACCTTTGAGACTGTGGTCGTCCTTGTGTGCCATGATTCCAGAAAACACGCAGGGACGGTTATTGGCGCAAAAGTCAGGTGCGGATCCAGGTGCACTTCGCATTTTCGTATGATGCAGGTTCTTACTTTGGTGTTTCCGGCGGCCCGTTAATTGCATCAAGGACACAAGTTTGGATGCCGGCGGACTACCAATTATCGACCTTCTTCCAACGAGACTTCGGTTTTCCTCCTGGCAGTGAAATTCAGCAATCGCTTCGCATTCCTACAAACGTGTTGTGGCTGTGAGCTCTCTATCTCCCAGTCTCTCGCACCTTCTCAAAGTTCGGATCCCGCCGAACTTCGCTTTCCTACAAACACTTCGGTTTGACCGTTCTTCGCATTGCGACCGTGCATTTTCGACCCGCATCTGTCGATGTTTTTCTGAATTGGCTACGAATAATTTCAATGCACAGAATTCAACTTTCCGTAGCTTCATTTGTGGGGTGTTTACGAATCAGGATGTTAAACGTGTTTTAGACAGGTGTTGTAGACAGGTGTCGCCAACATCAGGTTTCCGCCTGTCATCCGCCCTGTCATTGGGTCCCCTGTCATTGGGCCGCATTCCCCTGTGCATGTGCAGTACTTGAAAGCGTGTAGAACCTCTTGAATATAAGGTTACCGACTACGATAAGGTGTGGCAAAAGGGAGTGGCCATTTGCCGACTCCGTTTACGACTGTGTACGTGGCCGTGTGTTTCGTATGATATGTGTCCGTGGTGTGTAGGGTGCATAATGGAAGGGAACTTCTCGACACCACGGATCATGCATTCGATATTCTCGACACCGGAGACCATGAGTCCCGAGATGCACATGCGCTTGGCAGAATCGTTTCCTCCATGTGCAAATTCCGTGAGGCACTTCAACGGCGTGACTTCGATCCATGGAGCCACCAGAGAGGACTTCGAAGAGGACCCGTGGATGGCCGTCGTCCCGTGCATGGACAGGCATCTTGACAGTTGGCACGATGTCAATTGGGCCGCGATGGAGAGTCGATGCCCTTGGACAAGCCAGTACAAGTTTGCCAACATGTTGGAGTTTGGAGGTCTCATCACGCTGCATGACGCTGTCCTCGGACACAAGCTCCTGAGCCGTATGCGCAGAACACTGAGTTGCATTAGCCGCCATTTTAGTCGCCTAGAGTGTCACTACGTCACGTCGTCGCCACGCACGTGGACAGGCTTGCGAAAACAAGAGTTGTTGGACTGCGCTCGTCACTGCTCGTTCCTGGAGCACTACCCGCTCCGTTGCCCTAGTCTTTCTCCACAAGCTGTGTCTTACTCTTGTGTGAGGTTGACTGTATTCTGAACCGATTTCGCCAACAAAAGTAGGAAACTTGTCGATGCGGTTGTGCTTGTGTCACGAAACGAGGTGGTAATTGAGGGTTCCAAATTCGTCGAAGCGCGCGGGCCAGTCTCTGTAGATGGGTGGCCGGACCTCTCGATAGCAGGGCAGGTCCAAAACTTTTCATTGTAGCATGAAGTGGAAGAGAAAGTGTCTGACATACGGGACTGTATTGGGAATTCCTTAGCCCGACTTGGAGTTTTCGTTCGGATGGAATACATGTCCGTCTTTTCGGAGAATGCGTCAGTCAAAGAACCGCAGATCCGTGTTTACGGATCACCAATGAATGCTATGTATGGCTTCGGGTCACGGCCTCGTCCCCGAGGGACCCCGAATGTAACCAGATCTGGACGGGTTGTCAGACCTCGTGCTCGAGGGAAAAGGAGCGAGAGGTGTGAGAGGCACTAGTTGATAGTAGAAACTATATGGCGCACGTGTGGTGCAAAGCCCCAGCTATCCGTCTCAACACGCTTCTGTCTATCCTCCGGCGCCCTGGCTTTCTTGACGCGCAGCTGATTACACTCAACACGAAAGTGCAGAGCCTTCATCACGCACATCGTGTCTCTCTCCAACACCAGCCCTATGTTTGGATCCCGACGAACTTCGCTTTTCCACAATGCCTTCGAACCGACTGTGTGTTTCTTTACTCCCCTTCGTCGGACCCCCACCTTCACCAGACCTTGTACGTGCGTGTGGACCTCCGTTGCATCTCGGGTTCCGGTAACCGCACAAGTGCGGATTCATATTGCTCTGTCGTTTTTTCTCGAGGCCTCATGCGACAACGACCCGGGTCCGCCCGTGCCCAGACGACTCGTTTCGTCCGCGCTCGGATGTGGGCGGACTTCGCCTTCTCAACCAGCCTGTCAACTAAGTGCAGCCTGTCTCTTTCGGTCGCCCCCTCCAGAAGTTCGGATCCCGGCGAACTTCGCATTTCGGGTGATGCGTGGGTGTGTCAAAGGCCGCTGTGTGGTTCGTCGAGTTGCGTGAGGAAGTGACTGCAGTCCAAGTAATTCACGGACCAGCATATGGATCCGTTCTTTGTCTACTCGCATTCTAAGTCCTCCCCCATCCGAGCTTCAAAGAAACTCGGTGCGTCACTGACCCGCACACACGTGTGCGGGAAGGCTTTCGTCCCGACGTGGTTGTCGCGCAACCGCCTTCAAGATGTGCCAAACAGTCGTTCGTTGCCGTCGCGAATGGCCAACTACACTCTTAGGGACCTTCTTGTTGGATCGAGGTCTGTTTCGAGCAGAGTTTCGCACTCCACAAACAGAACACCCCCCCCGGATCCCGCAGGTTATGAGTTGTTCAAGCATTCTTTCGGGATGCTCATTCGCAACTGTGGTCGGTTCGATGGACCTTCTTGTTTGATGTGGGTCTGTTTCGAGCGGAGTTTCGCGCCTCGCGAACGGAACTGCCCTCCAACACGTTTTTTCGCGTTATGGCATTTGCACACTGTCTGCCAGTCAGTTGATTCCCAATGATGCACAATCACCGTGCACAATTGCCAACCATTATGATGCTTGTAAGATAGGAAGTTCGCCGACATCCGAACTACGCGAACACGTCTTTCTCTATCGGAACTTCATGCACCATCTGCCTCGCATTCTGGTGGAACAAGGTCGGACCCTGTCACAATGCCCCATCAACATTTGCTGAAATCCGCCGGAATCCGGACATCGCTCATGATACATGTTCTCCTATGGTAGAGCGATCTTCTATAGTTACCACATGTCCCAGCAATCTCTCGGCCTGGAATATTCAAGTCGAGAAGAACAAAGGAGGTCCGCAATATGAGAAACGTGCGCAATCTTGACCTCTGATGGACGAAGTTCGCCGGAATCCGAACTTCTAACATATGCTATAAGGAGTTCTAAAGCTGCCCGTTTGCGTGCTAACTGTCAACAACCACCATTCCCCTATACGTTGTTCGCTCGCCGCCAGTGCACCTGCTTTTCCCTTTGCGGTGTTTTGCTTTTCTATTTGCCTGGCTTGTAGTCCGCCGGTATCCGTAAGTTCCCCATTTGCTCATTGTTGGCGGTGTTGTTTGCTTTCGAATGCATCCTCCGCTACGTCTGGTGCAGACACAATGCCTACTTCAAGGTCGATTGGTGCTTCGCCGAAGATGACGAGCCCATGAAACCTCCTTGCGGTCTTGTCATCTTCGTGGAAGATAGAAAAGGACGAAGCGTGCTCGGATCGGTCAAGGGATGGCAGGCATCGAAAAAACACGACAAGCAGTGCTACCTGATGCATGTTGTTTACAATTCGAAGGGCGACGTTCTGGCAGGTGCGAAAGGGGCGATTCTTTCGTGGGATCTGTTCCAGGGTTTGGTGGGGGGGCTTTAAAGACCCCTTTCTACACTGAAGTCGCGGAGGGAGGTCTTGTTTCGGCCAGGGAGTTTTTTTACGAGGTCGAGAAGAGCGACTTCGACCTCGACGATCCCTGCCAAGTTTCGAGAGACCTGGAAGTGTCGCTTCCTGTGCAAATGTGCTCCAGGTTCGTTTCTAGTGGGACTCCACCGAAGGCGAGGAAATGGGTTCCGATGGTTCAGTACAGCCCCAGCAGGGTGAGGAACGCGGTCGCTTCGATGACAGCGAGGAGGAAGAAGAGGAGGACACGCGAATTTCGCCGCATAGACTCAGGGATCACGGGACGCTGAGAATTCTGGGGGCTGAGAGAGGGGCAACGGTCATCGAGCAACCGTCGACGTCGGGTGCCGGTCAAGACTTGGGGTCGGAGGATAGGATAGTTGGCGTCGTTTCCAGCGGGAAGGGAGGGGAACAGCAGTCTACACAAAAGAGAAGGGGAGGTTTTGAGGGGGAGGCGTCGGTAGCTAAAAAGAAGCAGAAGACAAAGATCCCACAACAGTCAGGGGGGAAAAGGAAGGGAGTTGAGGGGCATGTCGACACATCGAGTCAAAAGCGCCCGGCCTTGGCTCAGAAGCCACCCAGTCGGCCCCTGTCCAGCCCAGAGGTGTCATCGACATTGACGCGGCATACTTCCTAGAATGGAAAAACGGCGTGCGAACAAAGCGGGAGTTCGCCATTAACCCGTCGCAAGTCATCGACATCGGCGAGTGGGAGGCGGCATACAACCAGCGTTCCTTGGATCCCGTGCAAATACAGGTCATTATTGACGCAATGACGACGGCCTACTCTCAGACCGAGAAGACTTACGAGCTGCCGACACTAAAGCTCGCGCCTCTCGGGCTGGCTAAACCGACGTCCGAGGTGCGGGCGGATCGTCCGAAGTCGGAGGACTGGAAGGACGAGCTGGCAGGGCAATACTACTACTATGCTGTGGCGGGCCAGCATAACGCGGCTGCGGCCAGGGCGTTGCTTGGCACCGATGTGGCGGTGAGGTACAACTTCGAGCGCTGGCCTTCACGAATGGTGTACTTCTCGGACGAGGACTTTGAGGGGTACTTTCTGGTCAGCGCCGAGGATAACAAGAAAGACCTGAAGGCCCCTCCGGGACAGCTGAAACTCTCCATGAGAGACATTCGGTGGTGTTGAAAGGAATTAGGTTACCCGAAAGCTGTTATGGGTAACCCCAGCGGGAAACAGGCGCAGGTGGAGGCATGGCGAAGATTTTGTGCGGAGGCGCTCCACAGGACGCCGTACAATCACTTGTGGACTCTCGACAATGACAAGACCGAACAAGGAATCAAGAAACAGAACGCTGCCTTTCGATCTTATTTCCCGCTCGCGATGGCAGGTAAAAGCGCATGGGAAACTGGGATGGAATTTTTCGAGAGATGGGAAACCGGCAGACTGCTGGCGCCAGAAGGAGCGAAGTGGATCGCGAAGAAGAAGAAGGTGCAGGGCCTCAAGCCAAGTGTGAGCCACATCGACAACGAGAAGGACGGGCGAAAGGTAGTCGTGTACAATGTCCCCGTCGAAGGGCCACAAAAGAAAGGCGAGAAGGAAAAAGAGTCAGGCGACTGGTTCCTCCAGGTCACCGAGCCGGATCTGCACTGTTGGAAGAGCATGGAGGCCCTTACCGACAATGAGAAATGCTGGTTGTTGAAGAAGGTTCTCAACTGCAAGATGGTCTGGGTGCACACAGGGTCCTCCGCGTTGGCGAAGCAAGGGAAGTTGGGGATGCACGAGGCAGTGCAACTGATGAAGTGCGATCGCATATTGGTGCGGTTGTGGAACTACTACCAGTTCAAGCATGAAAACCGGTCAGACAGTGACTGGACCAGTAAGTACCCCTTCCTGAAAAACGAGAGGCAATTTTGGCAAAGTTCGAAGGGCAGGGGCTGGATGCAGCGTTGTGGGCCGGGAGCAGGAAGCTTGTCAACGACTCCTCCTTGTTCAAGGACTGTCCGCCCTACATGGGTTGCGAGGACGAGAAGTCGATCAAGGGGGCAGAAAAGCTAGTCCAAAACAAGAAGTTGCCCATCGACTAGAAGAGCAAGGTCCTCTCCGTGTTGACCGCCAGCAGGTCGAAAAGCATGGAAGTCGCGCTGGCCGAATGGATGGTGCACATTCTGTGGAACGACTCAAAGGACGTCACATCTATTGCCCCGTTCGGCATCGACCCTCTGGATGCGCAGATGAAGGCCGTGGAGTTGGAGAGGGCGGTCGGAATCACGAAATGCAACACGTGCGTTCTCGACTTGTGCGAACCGGTGGACATCAAACAGTGGACAGCTAAAGTCTTCGAGAGTTTGAATGCCCTCCTGGAGCACTTGTTCCCCTCGCACTGGACAGTAGTCGCGTTTGCCCCGCGTGAGCACGACTACTACTTCATGACCAACCTGCACCATCTGTCCGTCGTGAAGGCAAGGGCCGGGAAGTGGGTGAGGAGGACGCAGCAGAAGAAAAGTTTCGGTGTCGGCCACAACTTGTACTCCTTGGACGAACGCATGTACATCCTTTTCAAAGGCGACGACTTGCGGGAGAACACATCTGTTGTCTACGACGCAAGGTTGGCGGCGGGTGATGCCGCCGATGTGGGGGCAAATCAGAAAGTGACTCCCACTGAGATATCCGAGATGTAGTTCGACGCTTGTGAATGGCCCGTCGTGATACATGGGCGTGATCCCGTGGTGTACAAGGGCCATGAGCGGAACCCCATGCAATTCGCCCATCTGCTGTAATTCCTTTGCAAAAAGGGGGAGGGCATCATGTTCCTCGGGAAAGCGCACGCACAAGTCGTGTGGGAGGTTTTGAAGGGTGGTCGCAATGTCATCTCGTTGGACGGGAATTCGGAGTGGTTGCAATTCACGTTGGATTTCCTGAAAACCGCGGTCAACTCGGAAGCATACCGCTGCGAGTTCATTACGAAGAGTGAGAAGTCGAGACGCGTTTGGGATCCTTCGACGGACATGTGGTTCAAGCTAAGTGCCCGGAAAAGGAACAGGATCTAAGAGTTCCTCTTCCTGGAAAAGCGGCCTGCGAGAAGCACCGACATCGAGTACATGCGCCGCAAGGAACACATGTTGGCGCTGCTAGACAACTATCACGGCGCCACGCGCCTGATTGCGAAGAACTTGCAGGACCGACTAGAGTTATTGTACTTTGTCGAATCCGAGCCGGTCCTGAGGCTCGAGAGTTACGGTGCCTTGATCGACGCCGACGAAGAGTCCCTCACCGGTGTTCTCTTCGACACCGGTGCACATGAGGAGGATAGCAACACCGAGGAAATTGACATCAACTACCGCCTTGCTCCGGTGCTCCCATCCCCGGCCTCCTCGTCGGCGAGTCCCTCAACAAACCAGCCCGCACAAGCGACGCCCGTGTGGAGGACCCTTAGTACGTTGTTGGCGAGATTGACACCTCGGCCTGCTGCGCCTCCTCCTCTGCGTCCAGGGTGTCAAGTCCCCCTGCAACATCCTTCTCGGAAGGATGAGAACATCCACTTCGAAGGGCACGACCACACGCGTTCGACGGAGGCAGACTGGGGTCATGACATGATTTGGCACCCAGGGACGATCTAGCCCGCAATTCGGAAGGGGGAGTGGGTCATGGCCATAGTCGACACTGACGGGGAATGGAAGCCGTCCGAGCGCCTGGCCAAGTCCGACTACTTGGATATCGCGAGGAGTGTTGTGCTGGACAAAGTGACGTCAGAGAACAGCAACTTGCAGCCCGCCGACCCGGCCATCATTGCCACTGCTGATCGCTTGTTTCGGAAACTTCACGACAAGCAGTGGTTGGAACTCTCTGACTATTGGTACGACCTCGAGACGAGCCCTTCGAAGAAAAAGGTGAACTGGAAAGTACCCCCGTTGACAGGGACCCAGGGTAGTGTGGGAGGAGGACCTCTGAGCCCCCCCGGGGCCGGAGGGGGGGGAGGCAGTGGCCACGAGGAAGGAGGTGGCGGAGGCAGTGGCCATACGAAATCAGGGGAAGCGCGCCGGCATCATCGCCTGCCCCTGGCGGTCAGGGCAGGATCGCGCACAGCGGCGTGGGGGAAGGGGGGGTGAACGTCACACACTCCCCAACAGCAGGGAGCAGCAAGTCGGGGAAGTTCGCCCGCATCCGAACTTCGCAGACGGAGGACCCAGTGCCTGTGGAGGCAGCGAAGTCGGCCGGCATCCGCACTTCGACGACTCAGGAGCAGGCGGCCCTTCCCTCGTGGACTGCTTTCGGCTCCTCCGGTGAAGTAGGGCGGGGCTCATGTGCAGGGGATTCTGTCTCCGCCGTGAAGGGCAAGTCGGCGGGCATCCCTACCTGGGCGGACGACGTTCAGGCGAGTGTACCGGTCCAGTGGAGCTCTACAGGAGCACAGGCGTCGGAGATAGGCGCCACCCTGGCTGTGCGGGAGGCGACGCCGCCGGCCCTTGGACAAGGCCGATCTGCGGAGTCACAGAGAGAGATTGCTGGTGCAGCGCCGTCCGCCTTCCTTGCGACGAAGTCCGCCGGTATCCGTACTTCGTCGGTGACGTGCCTGCAGTCGGAGGAGGCAAGGACGGAGGAAGGTGCTACGTCTATTTGTACAGACAACCGCTCCTTGGGATCCGCCTTGATGCGGCTGCAAGGAGCCGAGTGGCGTGAGACTGGCGGGGGGGAAGAATGGGTGGAAGTCGAGGGCGGCGAAGAAGGGGGAGAATGGGAGGAGGGGGGAGAAGGAGACGAAGGGCGAGAGAAGGAGTTGATTACATTGCGCGACGGGGAAGACGGTGAAGAAGGAGGACTCAGTATTACAGACGAGGAAAGGGTGGATATCGGAGACGAGGATGTCTGTGGGGAGACATTATGATTCGTTCGGTCTAGTGTACGCCAGACCAGGTGAAGGTGATATCGACGACGACGCGACGGCGATGGAGATGGAGACGCAGGTGGTTAGTGGCCTTTCCGTGGACCACGAAGAATATGACGCCCACCACCTGGCCACGGCGGTGCATCCCCCTGACGGGTGCGACGAGGCTATCATGACAGTGAGCCCGGCGAAAACGACTCGCCGTCTTAGCGTCAACGAGGTCATCGGTAGCATACTGGGCGACGAGCAAGTTCAAACACTTTCGCCCACCCCGTCAAAAGATGATGCCCTTGTTAGCAACGAAACTTTCGCGGTCGAGGACCAGGCGCTCATCCAGCCGTGCTTTCCGGTACCCTCGTCACCGCTCACAGGAGGAAGGGTGGGGGGTGCTGGGGGCCGCCAACACGTCACGTCCCCAAAAAAGTGCAGGGTAGGCACTCCGGCCTTGGCTGTCCTCGCCTTACCAGCGCCCACGTCGCCGACGAAGGAGCGGAAAGAAAAACAAGCTGGTAAGCATTGACGATCGTTGCGATGTCAGCACTCCCGCGTTTCGGGATTGTCGACGCTATCTATCAACCCCCTTGTCAGTTTATGCCCCACGTTAGATGGACAAAATTCCGCTTCACTTGTCAGCGAGGACCAATTGGCCTCTTGTTCTTTAACACACCGTCATGCTTTATTCTGTGACTGCTCATCCGCTGCTCATTCCGCTTCACAAGTCCTCTATCGCCGTCTCGACTTTCTATCTCTGGCCGACACCTGTAGTGCGGATACCGGCGGACTACAAGATAGACCGTCTGATAAACGTATTTCGCAGCGACGAGCTTGTGTGCATTCGCATATAAAACGACGAGCGCAGTCCAGCCCGAGAACCCTGCACATGACGACGAAAGACCACATCACGCCAAACAAGAGGAATGTTTACAAATGCCGAAGTTTGGATTCCGGCGGACTTGCAGCTACAACCAGCAGGTCAGGTCGCAGAACTAGGTTTGGTCCTGACACTAGAACTGCGGAAACCGCCGGATTAACGGTAATACGGAAGGTCTGTTCTGAAGTTCGCCGGCATCCAAACTACAAGTGCCGGCGCGAGGTGGAGCACACGCCGTTGGTCGGTGTTTGCGAACTGGGGCTGCAAGTCCGCTGTAATCCGCACATCGGCAAATGTCGACTTTCCACCTCGCGCCGATACTTCTAGTGCGGATACCGGCGGACTAGAAAACATACCCTTCGAAGTTCCGGTTTCCTCCGGTCACCGCAGTTCCAGTGTCAGGACCAACCCCGACTGGTCGATGTCTGCTAGTTGTAGCTGCAAGTCCGCCGAAATCCGAACTTCAGCATTGGTAGGCATTCCTCTTCTTTGGCCTGATGTGGTCTTCGTCGTCATGTGTTGGGGTCTCGGGCTCGACAACGCTCGTCGTTTTATGTCTGAATGCACGCATGCTTGTTGCTGCAAAATACGAGTTCGCTAGTTGGAGAAGTCCATCATCTTGTGGGCTACATTATCTTTCACATTATCATTTTCGTCGAACTCCTCCTGGGAATCATATATTCATTTCGGGTTTTATCTTAACTATGTTTTACAGGGGTCCGGTCGTCTCGAAAAAGGAGTTTCTCGAAATATCCAGCACGTGTATTGCAGAAACTTCCGAGATTCACGACAAGAAACAAGAATATGTTAAAGGCATCAGGGGTTGATGTCGAGATTGGAGAGAAGGAGCATGCCTTAGCCATTGACGAATGTCTTTCCCTTCTACCTGCGGAGAAGGGGATATATCCACGATCTGTGACTAGGGGTTAGGCCATGTATGAAAAATACTTAGCGACGAGTCGTGTGGTGAACGACAACCTTTAGAACTTCCTTTCTCACTTCCCCGCGTGTGCGTTGGTCGATGATGTGCAGCTCGGGCCACAGCACCTGCAGCCTGGGAGGGGCATTTCGCTACGGCAATTGTGCCTCAAGTCTCGCGAGTTATGGATGATGTTTCTCGCAGCGTGGTGCCTCCTCATCATGTCCTCTCTTCCTTTGCGGATGATAAATTTAGAATCACGGCGAAAGATATGCTCACCGTTTTGCAAGCCAATGGCAAGATCAACGATGAGGTGGTGAATTTCTACATGGCCCTTTTCGGGTCGACGACATCCGCGACACGTGCACGGCCATCAGGCCTTCGAATCTTCAGCTTCAATTCTTTCTTCTTCAGTATGCTGCAACTTCGAGGACACACTGGGGTGGAGAGGTGGGCTAAAATTGTAGATCTGCTTCAGTTCGATATGATCTTCGTTCCGGTGCACAAACATAACGATCACTGGATCTTCCTTTCCGTTAATTTGAGAGACAATGTCTTTGAAATTTTTGACTTTTTTCCTCGCGTTAAAGCCGATTCCAGTTTCTACCTTAGTGTTTTCGAGATGATTGTACAGTATTTAGAACGTCATACCTCACATAGCCGGTCGGATAGGAGTTGGAAGACTATGGTCAGAAAAATTGTTGTGAAAGGAGTTCCAAGGCAAGTGGATGGAGCTAGTTGCGGAGTGTTCATGTTGACATTTGCAACGCGGTTGCAACGTGCTGATCGACCCCCTTTCAAATTCTCGAATAAAGATTTGTCTGTTATTAGACGACAACTGGCAACATGTCTCTTGGAATCACGTTGTTTTTGACAGTTTTCATTGACTTGTACAGAATTCTTTAAATGTGTGTCATTCTTGGGCGATTCTATCTGGTAACATAAGACATTATTCAATTGTCTTTCTGAGTTCAACATTGTTTTTTTCATTGGGTCTGTTTCTCGTTGTCTTTGGGATGCTCGCTTTTGGTGTGGCAGTGGTACTAGTTTCGTGCAGTTCAACATTGTTTTCTTGTAGTTGGATGACTTTCTCATGTGTGGACTTCGTCACCTGAGTCGCTTGTCGTGCAGTGGAACAACTCGTGTTGCGCTCTATGATTTCTATTGCAAGTGAAACGCACAGGGCACCGACATCGAAAGTTCGGATATCGGCGGACTACAGCCTCTTCGCCCCCCCGAAGAGGCTGTACTCCGCCGGCATCCGAACTTTCGATGTCGGTGCCTTATGCGATTCACTTCCTCTGTATGTTGTGTGTGGAAAGTAAGGCGTGAAATTGGATTGTTGCCCCTTGCTTGTCACGACGGTTTGCAATTTTGCTATTTGAAGGCATCTGTGTTCTCGCGTGTCTTCTAGCCCTTAAATGACGTTCTCTTAGTCTTTTTTCGTGCAGTGGAACAACTCGTGTTGGGCTCTATGATTATTATTGCATGTACGACAACCTACATAAGACTCTTGTCGGGGGTGGCGGCAAAGAGGCTGTAGTCCGCCGATATCCGAAATTTCAATGTCGGTGCCTTGTGCCATTCAATTTCTCGGTACGTTGTGTGTAGAAAGTAAGGCGTTAAATTGGATTGTTGCCCCTTGCTTCTCACGTCGAGGTGGGCGAAGAGGCTGTGCTCCGCCTATATTCGAACTGTCGATGTCTGTGCCTTGTGCGATTCACATTCTGTGCATGTTGTATGTTGAAAGTAAGGCATGAAATTGGGTTGCTGCCCCTTGCCTGTCACGTCACATTCTGTGCATGTTGTATGTGGAAATGAAGGCATGAAATTGGGTTGCTGCCCCTTGCCTGTCACGTCGGTTTCCAAATTTGCTATTCGAAGGCATGATCGATTAGATTATGTTTCTATGATGGCACAGGAACATGCTTCTTAGTCTCTTTTGGTGCCGTGGAACAACTCGTGTTGCGCTCTATGATGTGTATTCCATGTACAACAACTTGCATAAGATCGTTGTCGGCGGGGCAAATAGGCTGTAGTCCGCCGATATCCGAACTTTCGATGTCGGTGCCTTCTGCGATTCCATTTCTGTGTATGTTGTGTGTCGAAAGTAAGGCGTGAAATTGGATTGCTGCCCCTTGCTTGTCACGTCGGTTTGCAAGTTTCTTATTTGAAGGCGTTTGTGTTCTCGCATGTCTTTTCGAATTGCTTGCCAATGACGGTGCTCATTCATTTTCACCTGCGCTCGTCTTGTTCTGCTTTTGCACTGCTCTTAGAATTAGTCCACTTGTGGAAATTTTTTATTTGGGTGCATGACAGTTTTAGACACAGTCGCGGGCGTGAGATTCATCTTGCATTTCCACGTGTCATCCGTGGTGCTGCTTGCGTTTCCGCGTGTCGTGAGTCGCCCCTGCGCCATCACGTAATGGCCTCGCTGGGAGCAACTTTATGGGGGCACTGGTTTCTCTGAATTCACCGCAGTGGTCGCCTGCTGTCCAACTGTCTGTTCCGCCCCACTGCTCGGGTGCACCCATAACTTTTTCCTGTTGGTTGTTCCGCTGCGAGCGCGCGCCTGGCCTATATAGGCACGGGCGTGAGTTTACGCTACATCATTCACAAGCCATGTGTGAACGTAAGGTTGGGGGTTTAAATCCCTTTTTCCGCTCGTATCACCGTAACGCGGCGCACTATGTGGCACCCATAAGACCAGTGCCCGACATGAAGTCGGCCTGGATTAGGGTAGCCGGCTCGGATGCGGGCCGGCGCACTGTGTGGCACCCGTAAGAGCAGCACGCTACTCTTATGGGGGATTGGGGGAAGGCTTAATCCCGGAGAAGTAAGCGCGGTAGTTCCGTTCTGCCCTTCCTAAAATCTGCCTACCGGAACTTTCGACGTTCCAACATTCAAACACAACATGTGATTATCCATTTGTGGGGGTCGCAGGTTGTGCTGCTCAAGGCACCTTGCTCATCACAATCAGAAATAAGTATGGATCTCAGCACACTTATCAAACTTCTCCGACAAGTATACAATCAAGGCGCCTTGCTCATCACAATCGAAAATAAGACTTAGTATGGATCTCAGCACACTTATCAAACTTCTCCGATAAGGACACAATCAAGGCGCCTTGCTCATCGGAATTATACATAAGTATGGATCTTGACACACTTCCGCATATCAGGCACACCTTGCTCATTATAAACAAGTATGGATCTCAGCACACTTCCGCATATGGGGCGAGT